TGGGTACCGAACTATGCTCCGCTACGGCAAATCCTACTGGAGGAGTTTCACGACGTACCATACGCGGGACATTTCAGGAGCAACAAGACGTTAGCAGGGATAGCAAAGTATTACTACTGGCCCGGGATGGCAGCAGACGTGCAGCAGTTCGTCACCTCATGCGACACGTGCCAGCGGATGAAGAGTAGCAAGCAGAAAAAAGCAGGGTTACTTCAGCCTCTACCCGTACCGGAGCAGCCATGGCAGGTCGTTAGCCTCGACTTCATCACGGGACTTCCTTCGACCTCACGAGGGCATGACGCTATACTCGTGGTGATCGACAAGTTCTCTAAAATGGGTCACTTCATCCCGACCAACGCCACAGCTACAGCTGCAGCAACTGCTCGCCTCTTCTTCGACCGCATCATCACCATCCACGGCATCCCCGCTACACTCATCTCAGACAGAGACCCAAAATTTACTAGTAAGTTCTGGAAGGAGCTCATGGGACTGTTGGGGACAAAGCTTGCAATGTCTTCAGCATACCACCCCCAGACTGACGGACAGACAGAGCGGCTCAATCAGGTGGTTGAACAGTTACTGCGCATAGCTTGCAAAGACGATGTCAGCCACTGGGACACACAGTTACCGACCCTAGAGTTCGCTTACAACAACGCGTCACATGCGGCCACAGGGAGATCTCCTTTCTTCCTGTGCAACGGACGGGAACCACTTACACCACAGCAGCCGACCACACCGGCACACGTCCAAGCCGCACATGACTTCGTCACCACCATGCAGCAGCTATGGGAGAAGACCCAGCGACGTCTCATCACGATGCAGACCTCCCAGAAGCAGTATGCCGATCGCCATCGACGTGATCACTCAGTAGCAGTCGGAGATCAGGTGCTTCTCGACACACGCAACTTGAACCTGTCTCACCTACCATCCAAGCTCCGGCCTCGCTTTTGTGGTCCTTTTCACGTTGAGGCACAGGTGACACCAGTAACATCCCGCTTGCGCTTACCTACTACGTGGAAGCTTCACAATGCTTTCCATGTTCAGCTACTGAAGCCCTACAAGGACCCCAACCAACAGTTCCAGGGACGGCAGCTACCGCCACCACCACCTGTTCTCATACAGGATGAACCAGAGTACGAAGTGGAGCGCGTTCTCACTCATCGGCGCTGCGGCGGCAAGACCCTCGAGTTCCTGATACGCTGGAAGGGTTATGACCCCACAGATGACAGTTGGGTTGCAGAAGCTGATATGGGCAACGCACGCCGTGCTCTCAAGGACTATCTTGTCAAGCAGGGTGTATCTCATGCCACCCAGCTTTGAGGGGGGGACGTGTGAGAGTACGACAGATTATGCTTGCTTATTATGCTATATCTAGCTTGGGTTTATTTTATCATGCATAGATATGCTTGATTTTTTAGGTTAGGTGCATTCCTATATGTTATTATAGTTATAGCACCGAACCAGGTTACGTGTACCGAACTCAAGCCTATTCGGTTGCCACCGAATTGCTTTCTACTGAGTTCGGGAAGGTTCTGTTCGGGACGCTTGGCGACCCTCAGAACATTCGCGTAACACCTGGGTTACCTGCCTTGTATCGAGCCTATATATAGCCTCGTGTTGTACCCAGGTGAATCATTCGATTCAAACCCACTTTTCTGAGCTCGATCCTAGATCCTCACAGCTGCGGCGAATCCACGGTCGACCGTCCGGATGCTGCCATGACTCCACGTTCATGTATGGAAAATCCAGGAATACGAGGTCCACGAGCTCGTCAGATGATGCCTGACAGTTGGGGATATCGAAGTCGAGCACGTAAACGCCGTTGAGCGAGCGAGCTCTTCCGAGGTATTTATGCGACTCGACGGGTGTGTCTGGAGGGGTGTAGGTGAGGATTAGATCACGTGTGTACGGATCCGTGGCGAGCATTACTCCTCAGTCTCTGAGTTGTCCTGCGGACAACAAGTTGAAGCGAAGATCTGGGACGTACAGCACATCGTTGAACGTGATGTGCATGTTACTGTCTCGAGTTTGTAGCACCACGATGCCTTGCGCATTTGCGCGTAGTTGCTCGTTGTTGGCGACGGTGACGTAGGTGGCGGGTGCGCGATTGATGTTCGAGATGAACCCGACGGATCCCACCATGTGCTGGCCGCAGCAGCTGTCCAGGTAGCAGGTGTTGTGATTCCTGTTGTTGTTGCGCAGTAGTAGCGCGAGCCGCGGAGTCACCAAGGTTGACTTATATCTTCTGTGGAACGATGGGTCTTCATCCTCCTTCCATCCCACAGGAACGTAGTTTTGGTTATCGTGAGGTGGGCTTTCCCGCAGCTGTATTGGTTGATGCCAATCTTGCTCGTCCTCATCGTATCGGAAGTAGTGATCTTCTGTGAGGGGGTTGTTCCACCCTTCTTCAGGTTGAATGAGCGTGCCGAGAGGTTCTTCCTCTTCGTCTGGTTCAGTAGCACGTGGGCGACGCCTGTTGAGGCTGGAAGTGACGAGCGTCTTGTCGGCCGACCCAGTTGTGGTGAGTGGAATTTGGGTGGTGATAATTGGACCGGGATTTGCATCGGTCCGTTGAGTGTCCGAAGACTTTGCAGATTTTGCAGTTGTGGCGCCTGTTTTGTCGTCGCTCTTCGGTTGTCTGCGTAGAAGGCAAGGCGCTCTCGGCGCGGCGCGTAGCTTGTTCTGCTTGAGTCCATGTCTTGCTGTTCAGTCAGGAGTGCGGCGCATAGCGCGACTTCTGAGATGATTCCTCGTTGTCGGAGTAGCGCTTTGCAGGGCTTCCACTCAGGCCCGAGTCCTTGGAGGACGATGTTTACGAAGATCTCCTCCGAAATGGAGCTTCCATGTTTCGTGATCTGGTCACGAATGTTCCGACAGCGGTTAATATATGTGTTCGCTTTCTACCCGTGCCCCATCTTGGTCACCATGAGTTGCTGAAGGAGCCTGCTGGAGGTGACTGAATCCTTCGGCTGATATACCTCAACGAGGTGCTTCCAGGCTTCCAAGGCTGGAGCGGCGCTCTCTTTGTAGGAGCGGATGCCGAGTTGTTTCGCAGGCGTCATATTGCGTAGTAGCACACTGTACGCCATGAGGGACTCACTGTAGTACTGAGTCCTGGCGTCTTCGGTATCTTCCACCGGTTTAGCGTAGGAGCCGTCGAAGTAATGGTAGATCTGCGCTGTCTGTAGGAGGAGCTCAAGCTCGAAACTCCATGTGTAGAAATCTTTGCCGTCAAACGCGGCAGCAGTCTTAAAATTTGAGACGCTTAGAAAGCGTGCCTGCGCAGAGTTGATGAATTCATCACTTGGACGGGGGGCAGTTGTTGCTGATTTGTCTATCTCAAGGGAGAAGGTGTGCGCGGCGGTATCACGGCTTTTCGTAGCCGGTTGACTAGGTTGTGCTGGTTGGGAAGAGGTTCCCGCATCGCCTTTGCGCAATTCTAGTAGGTCTTTCTCCATGGTTGATAGTCGCGAAAATAACTGCTCGAGTGCGGCAGTGCTGATCGTGGTTGTCGCCTCATTTGTCGCAGCCGGGTTGGTTTGTCCTTCGGCCGTTAGATTCGCTTGGCCTCCGGATCCTCCGGCCATCTTGGTCTTGGAGCGAGTGCCGCTCGCCAGATCTTGATTCGGCGAATTTCACGGGAGTGAAGTTACGAAGAATCCCTGAGTAGCTCTCATACCATGTTACAATCCCAAGTGGGACTTAGCGAAGGATCGCTCAGGGTTGATTGCAGGGTAGTGTTGCAGCGGAAGTGTTGACCTCATATCAGAGTGAATGTAAATGACTGAGATAATTAAAAGCATGCATACATCGAGTTTATATAAAAGTACAGGGGAATACGAAACGACCTAGACTAGCCATGTACTCTAAGGGGTACATTCCCTTATTACAACGAATTCAAACCGTGCGGCGCGGGAACCCGTTTCAAACCTGTTCCCGCTCTTTTCAGTTCAAATGTTTCTGCCTTCATTGGTCTTGGTCAGACGGTTACCAGCGTCGCTTCGACTCTTCTGACTCCTCGACTTCGTACTCGGTAGAATCGGCTCCTGCAACATACAGGAATGCCTTCTCATAAAGTTTCATATCGTAACAAGAACAACCCAAGGAAGGAGCTGGAAATGAGGGAAACAGTTGAGCAGACGAATTGTCCCAACATGCCATGCCCCCTGACATGCCATGCCCATGCCATGCCCCCTGACATGCCATGCCCATGCCATGCCCCCATCTGAGATGCAGATCGAAACAAGAGCTGTGGAATGGAGTGAGATGAAAATATGATGTTTAGGGAAGGCAAGGCGAGTGAGTGGAGATACCTTGGGAAAATAGAACTCGAGGAGTGAGTGAGATACCGTGCGGGTATAGACAGAATAGAGAGATTGAGATACCCTAAACCATAGGGAAAGTGAGTAGAGATACCTTGAGAGGCAGAAAAGAGAGATTGAGTTGCGATGCCTTGCGGGGAGGACAGGGCGAGATAGGGAGAGTTGAGATAGGGAGAGTTGAGATAGGGAGAGTTGAGATAGAGGGAGAGTTGAGATAGAAAGAGTTGAGATAGGGAGAGTTGAGATAGTGAGAGTTGAGATAGGGAAAGTTGAGATAGTGAGAGTTGAGATAGGGAGAGTTGAGATAGTGAGGGTTGAGATAGGGAGAGTTGAGATAGGGAGAGTTGAGATAGGGAGAATTGAGATAGTGAAAGTTGAGATAGGGAGAGTTGAGATAGGGAGATTTGAGATAGGGAGAGTTGAGATAGGGAGAGTTGAGATAATGAGAGTTGAGACAGGGAGAGTTGAGATAGGGAGAGTTGAGATGGTGAGAGTTGAGATAGGGAGAGTTGAGATAGTGAGAGTTCAGATAGGGAGAGTTGAGATAGTGAGAGTTGAGATAAGGAGAGTTGAGATAGGGAGAGTTGAGATAGTGAGAGTTGAGATAGGGAGAGTTGAGATAGTGAAAGAGCGAGGCGGACCTTGAGGTAGGGCAGGGCGAGGAAGGCGAGCCCCACTTCACTGGTGATGCCCGAGGGGTAGAGCACGTAGAACATGCTGTACCTGGTGGGCGCAGGGTGATGGGGGGAAGGGGGAGATGGGGGAAGGGGGAGATGGGGGAAGGGGGAGATGGGGGAAGGGGGAGATGGGGGAAGGGAGAGATGGGGGAAGGGGGAGATGGGGGAAGGGGGAGATGGGGGAAGGGGGAGATGGGGGAAGGGGGAGATGGGGGAAGGGGGAGATGGGGGAAGGGGGAGATGGGGGAAGGGGGAGATGGGGGAAGGGGGAGATGGGGGAAGGGGGAGATTGTGGAAGGGGTGCACAACAGCATGGATGAGAGGGAGGGGTGGTGCCCGAGGGGTAGAGCACGTAGCACATGCTGTACCTGGTGGGCGCAGGGTGGGCAGCGGGAGTGCGGGAGATATGGAAGAGAGAAGGGAGACAGCTGAAATAATTGGGGTAAAGGCTATGACATAGAACCTGGTATGGCTTGTAGCCGCACGGAGACAGCGGACAGGAGATGGGGGGGGGGGGGAGGGGAGATGGGGGATGTCACAGCAGCATGGCAAGAAAGAGGGTTGGTGGGTGAAGGTCAAGCACAGAAGACAGGGAGAAAAGCAAGCAGTGGTCCAACGAGGCAAGCTGGAGAAGGGAGGATGCTGAGACGGCTGGAAGAGGGACAAGGTGGGGGATGCGGGGAAGGCAGAGGTGGAGGTTGAGGGGTAGGTGAGGAATGTGAGGAAGTCGAAGGGCGAGAGGGAAAGGAATCTCGACTGTAGGGAGTGCGAGGGGCAGGGAGTGCGAGGGGCAGGGAGTGTGAGTGAGAGGCAGGTAGTGCGAGGGGCAGGGTGTGTAAGTGAGAGGCAGAGAGTGCGAGGCGCATGGAGTGTGCAGTACCTGAGCCAGAGCAGACACGGCACGCACAGGCGCGGGAGGGCCGGGCGGGGAGAGGGTGGGCAGAGGAGAGCAGAGGGGCGTGGGGGAAGCACAGGTGGGTGGGGCGAGCTCAAGCGGGTGGGGTGACATGCAGATGAGGGAGTCTGGGAGTCTGAGGGACATGAATACGTTTGGGTGAGGCTCGTGGGAGTCTGGGCCCTTGCAACGGAGATGAAGAGGGTACTGGGGGGTGGTGGGGTGCGAACGAAATGTGGAGGGTACATACAGAGTAGCCTTCCCGCCTGTCCAATGTCCATTTCACAGACAAAGGAAGCTCTCGTGTATGCCCCCTGAAAACCCTCTCTACCTCGTCCCCTTTCCCGAAACCCCCCCTCTTCCTCACCTCCCACTCCCTCCCTCTCCTCATTTCCGCCGTGGTCTCTCCCACCCCTCCTTCATCCGCCCCTCCCTGCACAACCACGCGTCCCCAGCACCCCCCGCGCACCCCCCCCCCGCATCCCCGCGCACCCCCCGCGGACCCCAGCGCATCCCCGCGCACCCCAGCGCACCTCAGTGATGGACCAGCTGAGCAGCAGCGACGCCACCAGCACGTGCTCCCGCACCTGCACACGTGGCATGCGGTTGTGGGGATGTGGTGGTGGTGGGGGGGGAGGCACACGGGAAAGGGGTCACACGGGAATGGGGGCACACGGGAATGGGGGCACACGGGAATGGGGGCACACGGGAATGGGGGCACACGGGAATGGGGGCACACGGGAATGGGGGCACACGGGAATGGGGGCACACGGGAATGGGGGCACACGGGAATGGGGGCACACGGGAATGGGGGCACACGGGAATGGGGGCACACGGGAATGGGGGCACACGGGAATGGGGGCACACGGGAATGGGGGCACACGGGAATGGGGGCACACGGGAATGGGGGCACACGGGAATGGGGGCACACGGGAATGGGGGCACACGGGAATGGGAGCACACGGGAATGGGGGGAAGCAGTGATGATGGGTAGCAGACGAGCGGCGGCAGCATGGGTGGAGGGCATGTCGGGACACGGGAAGTCGCACCTCCACTAAACGCAAGCAAATGATTCTTCAAAGTGGGAATGAATTCATCGTAGGAATGGTTTCACTGCGTGCAGAATCGAGGCGGTGAAGAGTCGCGCCCCTCTATTACTGCACGATCGTACGGTTCTCTCATCCCATCCTCGCCTCTTTCCTTCCCTTCCGCCTCTTGCAATGGTCGCAGGCGAGTGACGGCCTTCCTGTGAGAGCGACCCCCTGTGGCACATTGTTTCGCGCCTGAGGTGCGAGATAAAGCACCTGAGGCACTTGATAAAGCACATGAGGCACTTGATCAAGAACCTTAGGCACTTGATCAGACACCTGAGGCACTTGATTGAGCACCTAAGGCACGTAATTAAGCACCTTATGCGCAGTAAAGAACACATGGCATGAGGGACACGAAAGAGCACCTGCGGCGCGGGGTAGAGCACGCCCCACACGAGGAAGAGGCGCGACGCAATCTGCGGGAGCGTGGCGGACACGGGCGACCTCACGATGCCTGCCGCCCGCAGCGCACCGCACATGGGGGAGGGATGGAGGGGGAAGGGGGGGAGGGGGGAAGGGAAGGGGCAGCGCATGGGAGGCGCAACGGAAGAGGCAGGAGGTGCAGAAGAGGGACGTGAGGCAGCGATGTTGGAAGAGGAGGGGGGGAGGTGGGGGGGGGGGGGGGGGGGGGGTAGGGACGATGAGAGGCACACATCGCAGGGACAAAACACATGGTACCGACCAGAGCCAAGGAAGCGAGCGTGCGTTAAGAGAGCTATACGGAAACAGAGAAACCGGGAATACTGTGGATGATCTGTGCCGACACGGAGCCAAGGTTTTGAATGCGGCGAGCAACTCGCTGAATGCGGTCCCCATTGCATTCACTGATTAACAGATTTTGTAAATGCATGATCCCAGTGGCCGCGACTAACAGCGCGGAGGTCGTAACGTCGTTAGCATGGGTTCGCTGCAACGACGAGGAGAGACACCGTACACCGGCATTTGTCGCAATGCACCTACCACATTGCATCCCGAACACAATCCTCAATATAAGCCTATGACTAACCTCCATGAGTGCAGCGGTCTGGGCGATCTGAAGCGGAAGCTCTGCCGTGGCATACATGGTGGAGGGGCCGCCTGTCGCCAGCGCTTGCACCGTCAGGATCAACACGTACAGCCTGCCCTGCGATGCCATGCAATGCCATGCGATCCCAATGTAGCCCCGTACAATGCCATATGGCGTCATGCGATGCCACGTGAAAAGATACATGCATGTCGAGGTGGCTGGGTTATGTGTGATGAATGATGTTTCAACAATTTTCAAGCGGATTGCATAGCTGGCAATGAGGCTGAGCGGAGGGAAGTACCACACACCATGCGATCGTGAGGAACGCGTTGTACGGAACGAAGTAGAGTGCTTTAAGCGACGCCATCGCGGTCGTTAGCGAGGACTCCAAACGTGCCGAGGAATTATCAATTTGGAAATGCACACCACGCAGTCGTTAGCGTGAACCGCGAACAGCGATAACAGGATCGCCAAAGAAAGCTACGACTGCTGGAGGCAAGGAGGAAGGCAGAGACGAGAGACGATGTGAAGGCCGTGCTTGCGGAGAATGCGAGGTCAGAAAAAACCAGATTCCTCGTGCATCTGAGGGCGTGTCATGCAAATCGTTTTTTAGGATTCTACACCTTTTTTACGTAAAGATGCTAGTTCGCAACGTATTGCCACGCGTACAAGCGAAGGTTTGTGTCTGCCTGGCGCGAACCTATTTTTGAGCACGCGGACACTGAGTCTCACCTAAAGAAAGATCGTGCAGAGGAACAAAATTGACCAGATTTGGGTGACGGTAACCCTGCCGCCGCACAAAATAGGGGAAATGTCGGCGACCATCGGTAACGGAAGCGTCACGAAAAAAAACTGCCTGGTGAAATATCTGCCATGGATTCCATCGTGGCTTGGTCTACTGTTATCCGCGTTACAGCAGCCTTTCAAGCATCCTTACTAACCAATGGACTCGCCTGTATCAGTTATCCTAGAAGCCATGTCATACTTGCTGACACTGGTTCTTCTTGTTACAAGGCATTTAATCTAGGTGCTTGTCAGGTTTAATCAGGATCGCGTTTTACGACCTTCTTAAGCTACTTAACCGCTTCGACAACAACACCTGACAACATCTCTATTATTAAGCTTATAGCACGAGGAGCTCCCGAAGTTGGTTCCTCGAGAATACACCACCAACTCCGGGAGCGCTTCCAGCCAGATCCAGGCGAAGCCACGCAACTACTTAACAATGGGGTGCTCAATCATCAGGCAGATCATTCAGAGGCTCTCATTCGTGTCCTGCACGTCCTCAGCCTGCCTGCAGCTCATCATCGCACCATGCCGCCTAAGAACCAACGCTCCAAGCTGGTGGTTGACCCTCCCGTGGTCACGGACGACAATGGAGCTCCTGTTGTCCCTAAAACGACTCCTGAGAAGGAAGGGGAGCACGAAGAGGTTTCGATTAACGCAACGGTCGTCAATACCTCTGCTGCTGGAGGATCCGGCCCAACGGTGGAAGAAAAGGCATCTGACTCTCAGCCATCTGCTGTCGGTGAGGATTTCATTGACGATGACACCGACGATGAGATGGAAATCGACACGGACAAGGAGGATGCAACCAGGCTGCGTTTTTACGGCTATTCTGTTACTTCCCTTCATTCTTGCTGAGGAGGTCGCATGTGTGATCGACGTTGTTAAGATGCTGATGAAGCGTGGGTGGTGTGCAGAACTGTCGGCTAACGCATTGTCCACGGCAAAGTTCTAGGTGCTGCAGCCGGCATATATCGCGAAGGTCCGCTACTGCCGCTTGCAGATCTCCTTCCTGCTGGACTCAGATGTGGAGATGGTGACAAGGAAGGAGGTGGTGTACCAGAGGTTGAACGGCAACCTGGTCAAGTTACATAGGCAACACACAAAGAACGCCACTTTCGCGCGGGAAAAAGCTCTTCACCCGCAAGCCATTGAGGTGATCTTCAAGGGGGTGTCGGCTATGGTGGACCCTGACCAGCTGGTGGAGAGGATGTCGGTGTATCATCTGACGTCGACCAAGCGTCCTGCTTTTGCAAGGAGTTCCGATTGTCAGAAAGTAGGAATCAAGGATGACTAGAATGACAGCAGTACAAGGTTTGTATAGCAAAACCTAATTGGGATGTACCCCATAAGGAGTGCCCCACTACAGCCTAGAGCATATAAATGCATAGTTCTGACACCGATTTCCACCGCGTGCTCCATCCGGTTACCGGTGCAGACACAGACGTCATCAAAGGCTTGGTCTACGCGCACTCCGGTGACCGTCGCCGTTGGATTCACGCAGTCCCAGATCCACCGGATCGCGCGAAGAAAATCCTCGTCCACTATTCCGCGCTCGTCTGCTCACTCTGTGAGGGTCAGCTTCATGATAAGTATCATGATGTTTTCACTATAGAGAGGCAGCAGAACGTGGGTAAATGGAACATGACGTTAGGGAAAGTGCACAGGCTCAACGGTAATGTCCTCATTCATCCAGCACTTACATCTCATTACATTTTTTCCTTTTCGCTTACTGACGACTCTGTTGATGCTCGCAACCCAATCCTTAAAAGCCACCCCGCTGATCCTCCCTCTCCTGCAAGACCCAGCCTTAGCACTGATCTCGACCGGAAGCAACAGGGAAGAGTGGATCTGCACTCAGGATGGTTGCGGCAAGGCGAAGGGGAAGAGTTTCATGACCGCCTCAGATCACGTCTCATCAGCTGCTCACATGCTGCACCTGGAGAAGTTCGGCACTGCCACTCGTGTCTCGCTCGAGAAGGCCAACATGACCGCTGTCCGGAAAGAGTACGGATTCCGAAAGAGCTGGAGAGAGAAGGTCGTAGAGCAGCAGCAACAGCGGTGGTTCTCACAGCAGTAGGAGTCATCTGTCTTATCACACTGTGGGTGCGTACGGGTTCTCAAGCAGTTATTAAATGAGTACAAAAAACCTTATCACATTTGCGGGTCAGAACGTCAACGGCCTCGAAGACGGAGTGAAGCAACAGCGGGTAATAGACTGGTTTAAGAAAGCAGTTGACATTGCAGTACTCTCAGACATTAGACTAGACCCGTCACACCTATTATGAAGCCACCCATCCTTCACCTTAGTAGCCGCATCCACACCACAAGCCAAAGCCGGGGGTGTTGCGTTACTCTGTAGACAGCCATCGCTCCGCTTCCACAACGTCATAGCCCACCCCTCCGGTAGAGTCAAGTTGAGCTCCACAGCCCAGGTCTCATCCTCACCATTTTCGCGTGTTACTTTCCCGCAGACGCTACCTCCAGAGCCGGCTTCCTCAGATCCGTACTAGGACCCATCGTTGACTCGATCCAGCCTTCATCATACATGCTCATTATAGGAGACTTAAATACAATCGAAGTTCCGCTTTTAGACAAAACATCAAAGATTGGTACCTCAGCTGAAAACGATAGACTCTTCAATAGATGCCGTTCTTTCCAACTCTCAGACCCTTTCAGGACCTTATACCCATCCAAGCGAGAATATGCCTTCCATGCTCAAGCCCAGAAAGTCAGCACACGCATTGACAGAGCCCTACTTTCACACTCCCTACTTTCTCACCTAGTGCAGGCCTCTCATATCATGCATGAAGAATACATACCCGATCATGATTTTGCGGTGAAGGTGGCGCTGAGGATAAACTCCAAGATCCGCGTCGGTACGGGCCTCTGAAGACTCCATGCATCAATGGTCCGGAAAACAGGAGTGAGTGTGAAAGATAGGAAACGAGAATGATGAAATTAGCAGCAATGTGGGTACAAGTAGGAAACCCTAAAAGTGTTGTACCCCATATGAGCTACCCCACTACACCCTACATAGACTACAGCATATAAGTTTGACACACCCCCATAGGCAAAGTGGGGGAGAACAAGAGGTCACAAGACCAGTCAAGAAAAGCAAAGCAAGCTCAGGGTGGATCACGACGTCACCACACATTCTGAGCACAAGCAAATGGCCACAAGGCCAGTTCACATGCAGAGTTATATAAAGGAGAACAAGCAATACAGTGATCACAACCTAGCAAGTGTAAGCATGCAGGTATATGTATAGAGATCACAGTACAAGCAAAGTCAAGAAGTGAGCAAGTGAGGCCAAGTGGGCACAAGGCCTAGAACAGTACAGAAACGCTGATGATCACAAGGCTAAAGTGCCTTGGTGAAGATATCAGCAGTGTTGGCCTGAGGGGCCACGTAAGCAAGATGAAACTGACCACGCTGCTGCAACTCTCGAGCAAGGAAGTAGCGCAGAGCGATGTGCTTCGTTCTGTGCTCCAGTCTGTGCTCCTGACACAAGGCAATGGCGGCCTTGTTCTCGACGTACAGAACTGGAGGAGAACGAGGCGGCTCTCCCAGGTCGGTCAGCAGGTAGGTGAGCCAGCGTAACTCCTGTGCAGCCATGGCCCCTGCGTAGATCTCAGCCTCACAACTGGAGCTGAGAACAGAAGACGAGCGGATAGACCGCCACGAAACAGAGCCGGAGCCAAGGCTGAAAGTGTAACCCTGTGACGACCGCTGCGTATCCAAGTCGTCAGCCCAGGAAGCGTCTGCGTGACCAGTGAGGACAACTCGAGCCCGTCCTCCAAGCACGAGCCCCATGCCCGACGTACTGCACAAGTAGCGCAACACCCTCTTAGCGGCATCCATGTGCTCCTTCCGGTGTCTCCCAGGAGCAACATAGCGTGCCAGGATGCTAAGAGGGTATGCAAGGTCAGGTCGAGTGGAGGTCATCAGGTACATGAGGCAGCCCACAAGCTCTGGATACGGGCCACTCGGCTCTACGGACTCATCCGAAGGCAGAGCTGAGAGCGAGTGGCGAGTAGGCAGAGGAGTGGACTGTGGCGAGGAGTACGTGAAGCGGAAGCGCTGAAGGACCTGCTGCACCATGTGTGACTGAGTCAAGGTAATGGTGCACTGTGCTCTGTCCCGGGTGATCTGCAAGCCAAGATAGCTGCGCAGCTCACCCAGGTCTGTGCACGTGTGTCTCTTCTGCAGCTCCGACT